CCTGATCGGAAGTGATGGTGCTGATAGAATCAGTGAGATTTTGACAGATGAGCAGAAGACCGCGCTCAATACAATCGATAAAGAGCTACCTCAGCTGCTCAGCGAGTTGCAGTGGCGTGGGCCAGAACTCAAGTCGTTGGCTGCGAAGTGGAAGGCAGGTGAGGATTTGACAGATATACAGCCTAGGAGGAACAGTGAAGATCTCTACGTGATTCCTCGGCGACGAGAGGTAGATGCCGACGCTCGGAGCATCAATTCAGTGAGCTCAGTGGCATCTGAGTAGGTAGATTGAACAAATGCCGGGAACTTTCACTGACAATCCACTGCAGCCGTTACATCGAGGCCAAAGAGATCTATGAGACTTGGTTGGTTCGAAAGGTAAACGGTTATGTGCGCAGAGCGCAACGCAACTTCAGTTTCCTCGGCCTGAAGGTTCATGAAAATTTCCTCGATGACAACTACAATGCAGACCCAACACCATGCTCTCAAGAGGAATTGAGGAACAAATATGAGGATTCCAAAACAGGGGAGGGCTCGGAAGCTTTCAGAAAGATAATCAACAATCTACCAGAAGGAGTCTACCGAGAAATCGAATTCCTTATCCTGGAGCGTGACAGAAATTCTAGGGCAGCCAAGTTTATCCGCACCTGGAAATTGATCGATGCGATACCAACTTCGCCTCTCGTACCAAAGCAATCAGGAGGTTGGTTGTCGTGGTTCAAAGGCCAGCCAGAGGTCCAGGACTGGATAGTGGTCCTGAAAGCCGAGAGTTCTAGTGCGGAGGGTATGATCTGGCCAACTGCCACTAGCGATCCATTCAGAAAGGGATATGGTCGGGGGATGCCAGAGAGAAGAAGGGTCCCGGCCTATCGTGGACACCGAGATTACTCTCCCGAACGCGAGATTGTGATTGATCACCGGCCTGGTGGAAGATACAATCGTCGAGTGATACCGAAAGAGCCAACGCCTGACGAAGCCTATGACAAGATCAAGGATATTATTGCTGGCATTGGGGCATTTGCCAAGGATTCTGGTGATGAGAGTACAGTTGCTCAAGTTGCAGGAGCAAGTTCTTGAAGAGAAAGGGTAGGGAGGTAGTTTTGTAGCTCTGGTTGAACATGTATGCGGGTGCCGCTGGAAGGCACTCCGCAGGTGTCAGATGGTGGAAATGAATCGAGAAATGAATTTGTTGGACAAGAAGATAAATCGTCATCGAGGCAATCTTGACTTTAAGAGGAATGACTTGAAGCTGTGATATGTCTGGAAAATTTTCCATAACTTGAGTAATTCCGAAGAGTGGCTCGTCATTCTGGTATGTTTTGTGGTGCGGAAACGACCATAGCTTCTCTCAAAACGCCTTCCTGGCTCCTCCACATGTGTGGCATCTTCTCCTCTGTAGGAACGCTTGACCAAGTCCTATACGGCTTCTCCAAAAGCATCCACGAAATATCTTCAGCCTGGGAATACCGAATTCGCTTGCACAAGGCACCCTGGACCAAAGGTCTGCGATCCCGAAGCAGTCGAAAGATATTGACAACATCCATGTCCTTAACTCCGAAGGACCCGGTGTAGACGACTCGCAAAAATTCTAGATTCGGGAAGTACTTGAGCAGTGAAATGAGATGCTTTAGGCAGTCGAGGTTGATGTTGAATGATGGGATGTACAGCCGCTTGAGATAGTGGCGTGCGAGGCAGAGCTTACTCATGTCAACAGCCCATTGGGAAGGTCGCTGGAAACCATCTCTTCGTTGGCTGCTGAGGAGATTGAGGAATTCGGGTGCTCTCCAGCCTGGAGTCCCTCGGATTTGGAAAGTGTTCCGTCCGTAGAGAATTTCTACAGCCTCAGCGTAGATCTGGCGGTTCGTTCGAAGCAGTGACATGAAGTCTAACACCCCGGATCGTTCTTTGTTCGGATAAAGTGGCCCATCGACGACGAACATAATACCGTAAATGGCGTCTCTGATCTCGCGAGGGAGATTGAGAAAGTAAGACTCCTGGATAGCTGTTTCCTCGACGTGAAATATCATCTTCATAGAAGGTTCAGTGGACATATTCGCCTTCTGGAAGTCGAGAACAGAATCGAGGGAAACATCATTATAAATAAAGTTAGACATTAGAAACACAAGGTGCAAAACTAGCAAGCAAAACAAGATGCAGAACTGCCGACCTATATATAGAAAGTGATAGAAATTAGACTTTTATAGAAGTTGGAAGTGGAGTTGTCAGCCAGCATCGAACATGATCACGATGCGGTACGCCCTTCAACGCTCGAAAGATGCGCTAACAGCCGACCGACGCCAGACCCAAAATGATCTAGCCAGATCCAATCCCTGCCTATCACAAACTCCAAAAATTTATCACGACTCCAACGAATTTCGCATCACGCATCTCAATATCGATACAGGATTCTACACGGTACGCGGCCACTCATTCCGCCTACGTCCAGCCCGGCCGAACGATCTACTCTGCCAAATCAAAACCCTTTCCAACCTACAGAACAAATTTCCAATCCCACGAAACCGCAATCATGCATCTCATGTACACCATCGACAGCACCGGCAAGCGTGTCTATACCCTCAAGAAGGTCGTTTCGGGCGAGGTCACCAAGTCGGCACATCCTGCACGCTTCTCACCAGATGACAAGTACTCCAGACATCGGGTTACGCTGAAGAAGAGATATGGACTGCTTTTAACGCAACAGAGTGAGTTTTCCTCTGGATGCGACATGGCAGACTTATGCCATGAGGATTAGTGAATTGCATTGTGCTGACTATTTGACAGAGGACCTCAAGGTCTTGGGCCAGTAATTCAGATGGGTAATCGGCGGTGAGGGGAAGTTGGAAGCTCGGGTCACAATGGGAGATGGAATTTGAGGAGGCATTGCAGGCGCATACAAGGAGTTCTAGTGGAAAATATTTGTTCGTGGCCATTGGCGTTCTACGTGCGCGTTGTAGAAAAATCAGAATGGATAGTTGCTATGCGAGTCCGTCTATGTTTAGCATCCAAACGCCATAACTCCTTCCACCTAGTTTTTGCACGCCAAATCCAAAGTCCAAAGTCTAATGCCGTTTCTTGGAATTGACATTCCTGCCTGCTCCAACCTTCGTTCTGCCACCTGCACGACCTCTGTCGCCAGACAAAATTCCAGGGAGAAAGTCTTCATCCATGAGATCCTTCTCCTTCTTCCTCCGAGCTCCAGTCATAGCTTGAATGTATTCTTTCTGATCCTCCGCCAAGATCAAGCCTTGACCCCATCCACCTTTGCCTCCACCCTGAACAAGTTTCCCATTGGCAGTACCCGCAACTGGTTTTGGAATGCTGTAAACATCACCTCGCTTGTTCCACTGCATGTTCTTCTTCAGATGAACCGTGACTTTGCCATCTTTATCCGTAGTGCACGATGTACGCAAGAGTGTTGGCTTTCCGCATCGGCCACAGAACTGCTTGGCCATGTCCTTGGTAATCGCGAAACATGCATGGCATCGTAGCACCCATGTCTTCAATTGTTTGATTCTTTGGAGTGTTGGTGACAGAAGGTTGAGGTTCATTCGGAGAAGGACGTTCTGCATGGCGAAATCAGATGTGATGAGTGCTACTTGCATTATGGCGGCTTCGCTTTTCTTGTTGGTGGTGCTGTTCTCGGACTTTGCCATATGTTTCTTGAGATTCGAGGGAGTGATCCAGCCTTCGCCATCTGAACCTTCCGAGTCTGATTCTTCGACTTCTTCAACGACGCTTTCAGAAGCAATTGACTCAGATGTTGACCTTAGCGATTGTAACTTTGGGGCGGATTGTTGTGGTACATCTTTGACTTCAACAGGCTTGTCTGGAGAAGTTGACTCAGGTACGATATTCGGTGATCCAACTTCTGACGCATTTGCTTGTGAAGTTTCTGTGCTCTCAACTGGGGTTTCTTGAACTTCTGGCGACACTTGCACGTTATCTGGCCCCCGGGCTGACGTATCTGATTGTGGGATTGGCGCTGACTCCTCTATCGATGAAGGAACGGCTGCGGATATGCTTTCTAAAGTCCGGTCTTCTGGAGCAGATATGTGTGTCTTCTTAAGAACCTCGTCTATCGTTATCGGCTGGCCATCCTCGGCAAGAGTCTTCGGCACACTCGTTCCCCATGCGCCTCTTGTATCTAGAACAGGAGCAGGCGCTTCCACTGACTGCACAGGCACTTCCTTAAGATTGTCCTTCTCGCTCTCCTCCGCAGGTTTCGGCGGCTCGCCATTAATCTTCTTCTGATTCGGATCACTGCGCAGCCTCCAGTCGCCATTATTCCTCTCACACTCCAACTCATAAGCTAGCGCCATCAGATGTATATCCGGTCTGCTCAACACCTCCAAATCGCCAGTCTTGCGTGCAAAATCCGTAATGACTTTCACACTCACAGGTCTCGGTGATCGTAGTTTGAGGAAGGGGAGCAGAGTGCTCTCGAGTCGGGCGCGAGTGACTGCATCGCGAATTTCATCAAGAACGGCGGGGATTGTGTAGAGGTTTTCGGCTTGGCCTAGGATTGTAGATACGTGAGGATCGTTCTTGATTATTGGGCCCGAGTCGAGTATTAGACTGTGTATGGGTTTGGAGGTTTCGGTCGTCATTTTCGCGGTGAGATGATTGTTGTTACAACTTTGGCGGGGTAATTTCGAGGCTTCTCATGGAAAATATTTTGGATTCTGCCAGCGCCGGGCGGTGAAGTCGCCCTGAAGTTCAACTCCACACTCAAAGAAGTGCTAAACAAAGAAGCGCTAAACAAAGAAGCGCTAAACAAAGAAGCGCTAAACAAAGGACTGCTGACCAAGTTTCAAAATCCGGAGGCCCAAAAACATCCCCAAGTTCAAATCCAACAATTATTTTACTCTTGAAGGTTTTCAAGTGCAGCATATGCTCGAGAGTACTGACTAATAGCGGGAGATCTCAAAAATTCTCCGACGCAAATCTCTGTTAGTTATGAGTAATCAAATAAGAAAAAACTTCAACATCGAATCAGATTCGGACAGATGGCCGAGTGGTTATGGCGTGTGACTCAAGATCTAATCTTGTCAGCTAGAAGCTGAAACAATTCTCATGGGCTTCGCCCGCAGGGGTTCGAATCCCCTTCTGTTCAAATTTTTTTAATCTTTTTGCTTTTTAATGGTTTGAGTTTGCACGCCGATTGTGGTGTAGATGCACGCTGCGAAGCGAGATCACTTTCACATTGCCCAGACAACCAGAGTCTCTTCTCAGTTAAATTGTCAACAGGCCAAGATGACATCTCACAAGATTTGTTTAAAAGGATGGATATAGTTACTCTGGGTACGGAGCTAAGCCGAGCGCACTGTCGGCTGGATTTTGGCAACGTGAGCCAAGGTTTCAAGGTCCCAGAACCATGGGATTGACTCAACGTACTGCCAGCTGACTCGTCTTTCCTTTCCTCTCCAACGACGATAAACATCGTTCATGATGGCCAAGCTATTCGCTCATGACAAGAATAAGCTCGGCCGGAAGCTTCAACTCAACTCGGCCTCATAGCATAAATGTGCTGAACTTAATCCAGCGCATTGAAGCTCTAGGATTTCGTCTTGTGTGTCCAGTAGATTTGATATGATGAATTTTCATATGTACTGCACATTATTCGTTGACATTAGACTCCCGGCCACTCATCTTCCCATATTTTCTGCCCAATGCGTCAGAACTTAGACAGTGAACCTGTCTCTCGACTTCCTCGACACTATCTGCTTCTTGCGAGTAACAATATCCCTCTTCGTTCTAGCAGGCACGCCATATTTGCCCTCCCAAGAAATACCATACGTAGCAATAGAGTGAGCAATTGCCTTCGCATTATGCAGGAAGGCACCAACGTTCAAATTCTTGACGTTATCCTTGGCGCTGTGGTAGTTGACATCATACGCGACACCGGCAGTTCCTCCAAAGAGGGCAGCTTCTTCTTCAGTCTTAAGCTGCTCAGCTCCAGTGAAGAGTCCTCCGCAGGGAACACCCACTTCAAGGAATGGACCGTAGTCGGAACGGCCGTCAAAAGCCGTGGAAGCGAAGGGCAAGCCTTCTTCATACTGGAAGAAGTCTTCGAAGAGCTTCTCGGCTTCGGCTGAACCAGGTGCACCGGCGATACCGAAGGTACTTCCGTCCCCGTCATATATAGCATAGTAGTAATTCGGAGAGGCTATCATGTCAAAGTTCAAATATAACCGAATCGCTCCGAGCTCTTCGGGTGATAATGAATCAACGTAGTAGTATGAACCGATCTCGCCTTGCTCCTCTCCAGACCACCACGAGAAGCGGATGGCGTTATTGACGCTGTACTTAGTGAGTTGGATGGCAATTTCGAGGAGTGCAATCGATCCCGAGCCATTGTCATTGATACCAGGGCCTACAGATGTTGTTAGAGGAGGTCTGAAAGGAGGAGTTTGGGGCTACACACCATCGATGACGGAGTCTGAGTGACCACCGACATGCAGAACATTGTTCTGATCGCCGCCCTTTGTCTGCGCAATGACATTGTAGCTCGTGACATCAGACAGGTCAATCGACAGAGAAGCAGTAACTGGCCCAGCAGCGAGCAAGCTCAGTAGTGTGGCTCCCACAGTATCAGATACACCAGCTGCAGGCTGGAATGGCCCTTCTGGGTGAGTTTCTTGGGGCTCAAGAGTACGGTCTGCAAGTCTTCCGACGACATTGTTGTAGATAATCGTGCCGACTGCTCCAGCCGACCCAGCAAGAGCTACCTTTGTGCCAAAAGTACAGGTTCCGCGCTTGATGAGTGCAATTGCACCTGCGACTGCGGCAGGGAAGTCCGCCTAGATACAACATTAGCAGAAGTCAGGCGTCTTAGACTGTATTACTCACAGGGTCACATCCAATGTTGTTCACAAGAACCAATGGTGCGGAGACCGACCCCTCAGGACTGTAGATCATGTAATCCGCAAGAAGTGATTGTCCGTTGGCGGTGAAGATGGCGCTTCCACCGGGCATGGTGAAGGGCTGGACCTCAACATCATAGTAATCTGGGTATGCGGAAAGTGTGTCGACAATCCAATCCACTGTCTTGTTGTGACCTGATGTTGCTGCTCGACGAGTGTTGTTATCCGCAAACGAGAGCAAGGTCTCGGACTTCTTCAGAAGCTCCGAGCGAAGCAAGACTCTGCGGAGCTTATTCTGTAGAAAATTTAGTAATATTCGGTAAATTGAAGCTATGGAAACTAACAGACTCGACCAGAGGTAGAGCTGCAAGGGCAGAAGATGCCAATGCGCCAAGAGCAACCAGTGTTTGAATTGACTTCATGATGAACCAAGATTAAAGCTCTGGAAGGATGCAAGACAAAACCTTAGGACGAGGATAGCATGGGATCTTTATACCAGTGCCCAGTTCCGAGGATTTTCGGTGCTTGGGAAAGCTTCCAGAGCTTCCATAGCTATGGAAGCACCCCACCATGGTAGCTCAGGTAGGCACCAAATGATGCACAATAGATTCCCCTGCACAAACGTGCAGTACGATAGGTCGTGCCATTTCCAGGTACAGATAGAGAATATGGTATCAATTGGCTATTCGCTTGATACCTTATCGCCAAGTCTGAGAGGCTTGATATTGTGGAAGAGGGGGTAGCAGGGGCGTTGCTTAAGAACTCTTGCCATTGCTTGCTGATCCATGGCGCCATGGCAACAGTGAATAACACTGTGATGCCAAACGAGGCAGGAGCCAAGATGTCAATTCTTCCAGACCGCGGTCAATCATGCTGTTCTGGAAGGTTGGCAGCATTGCCAAGAGAGGAATATGTAGCCAAGAATGAGGCGTGGAAAAGACGACAATGAAAGATAAGGATCGCGGCCGCTGGATAAGTACAAACGGAACTTCCGACAGGTGAAAGCCTTATTCTGAGTCTCGTATTCAATTCAAAGTGAGTGAGGCTATCGTAAAATCCACACATTTGATGGCGAGAGATTGATGTATGTGATAATCTTCAGTAATCGAAAAACGTTCGATCGGGTCAGGACCACTTCGCTTACAGCCCCTGTCGTAAGCATGCGCTTGTCTAAATGAAAACATTGGCCACCGGATTTCTCACTTGCCACCAGTGAGGGACTGATATAATCAGGTGGGATCGAGGATGCTTCTTAGATTCCAGAGGTCCATGGCGAAGCTTTCTCGAGATCCACAAATTTCGACAATTGTTGATGCCAGCTCCACATAACGCCTGGAACAGGAGAAATGGACTTGATGTATGGATTCTAGACGTATTGATCTTTGTCAACTAGCTCTTTAACAGTCGAGTTTCATCAAAATTGTTAGAAAGATCAGATACATATAGTTAGATGGATTATGATTCACCAAACTTACTTTCAGATTGCTCCAATCTCGCAGATCAGTGTCGGAGAATCAAGGAAGTTGGGCTGAGGGTGATCGCGAATACGGCGAAAACAGCGGGATGTCGGAGCGGGAGGCACATTGGGTACCTAGTGTGTCTCATTTGGATAATATGGCATGTTTTGAGAGCCTGCGGTAGCTATTTACCTTGGAAAATCTCCTCCGCCATGAGACGTTTCTCCAGTGGTTGCAACATCGATTGTAGGAGATGTCTTATCGTCAGGAACCCGTGTACTCTTGATGAGTGACTCCTCTTGAGATATTTATTTAGGTGATTGTATGCTGAAGGGGCTTCGGTCAATTACATTCTAGACGGTGTAGGCCGTGCTCACTTCCCTAGGTTTATATATATATATATAAACCTGTCTCTCACCTCGAGTTATGTCCAGCAGAATCAAGATTTTAGCTTCTAATGGCCTAGATTGTCTCTTGTGGTTTTTTGCAAAGACTTACGATGAGGCAGAACTTGTAACTTAATTTTCAGTGATGAGGCTTGAAAATGAGCAAGATTTGCTCGTGCGGCTGTATCAATTTGGATATCATCATCGAGTGGAACCTACCTACTGTGGCTAAAATTTGATACCCACATCAGCGTACTACTTCTGTAAGAATTCAAGAAGGTTGTATCTTGAGAGTATCAGAGTATCACATAAGCTTGGTATAGCGTATTTCGAGGAGAAAAAAAGTGTTTGAAAAGTTCTCGTCACATATATCTCATTCACATAAAATTTTCGATGTATACATTAGTGATCACGCAAGCCTATACACTCCTATAGTTTCCAAACATTTCTTTATTAACCTTAAGACCTTGCACGAGAGCATAAACTTCCCCATACAGTACCTAAGTCCACCACTATCCTGTCTTGCCCCAAGTGCTGCCATGGTCTCCCAGAACCTTCACTGATATGACGGCAATTCATGCATAGGCGCTGATGAGCCACCGTACGTCGACACTAGGCGGGGTTTTGGCGATGAAGCTGCGGACGGCATTTCATATTTGTAATCCGTCTGTCCAGCTATCAACTCTACCGAGGGCGAAGTGGGTGTAGCTTTCTTCCTCTTCAACAGCAAATATATGCCCGCCAGAATCGCAACTAAGATGGCTACCCCGAGACTGACGCCGAGTCCAATGCCGACCTTGGCGCCAGTAGTTAGGTCTGAGGAGCCAGAAGTTCCTATCGAGGCGGAGTTGATGGCAGAAGTAGTTGCTGGTGGCGATGAAGGTATTGTGGCTGTACTGTGAGAAAATGAAGAGGTGCTCGAAGTAGTTGAGGGGCTGCTCGATATAATGCTGCTAGTAGTGACCGAGATAGACTGCCCGAGCGCGTTGACCTTGGAGTCTGTGAGGTTGAAGAAGGAGGTCATGCTCAATGGCGTCAGACCGTCCTTCTCACAGAGCGCAAAATAGAAGACATTGCCATCTGTTAGGTCGAAATTGGGGTTGCCATTGTTTCCGTCTACCCCGATTGGATTCCAGGTGTAGTGTGAAGCGTCTAGATTGCCTGGAGATAAGATTAAGATTGTTTCTATAGAATCAATGATCTGTTGATCCTTGCGGGAGCCGGGGAGGTATTGCAAGTCTCCGATCTGGTCCTTAGGTCTTTCCACATCCACCTGCCACATTACGACAGTCATCGATCCAGATTCGAGAGGAACCCATGTTATATTGAGAAGATTGCCGACGGTGTACACAGCATTTCCACTCAATGGATCGGTTCCAAAACGCACAAAATGTTGTGGTTGTGGTG